GTGTGTGTGTGTGTGTGTGTGTGTGTGTGTGTGTGTGTGTGTGTGTGTGTGTGTGTGTGTGTGTGTGTGTGTGTGTGTGTGTGTGTGTGTGTGTGTGTGTGTGTGTGTGTGTGTGTGTGTGTGTGTGTGTGTGTGCGCGTGTGCGCGTGTGCGCATGTGCGCGTGTGCGCGTGTGCGCGTGTGCGCGTGTGCGCGTGTGCGCGTGTGCGCGTGTGCGCGTGTGCGCGTGTGCGCGTGTGCGCGTGTGCGCGTGTGCGCGTGTGCGCGTGTGTGTGTGTGTGTGTGTGTGTGTGTGTGTGTGTGTGTGTGTGGGTGTGTGGGTGTGTGGGTGTGTGTGTGTGTGTGTGTGTGTGTGTGTGTGTGTGTGTGTGTGTGTGTGTGTGTGTGTGTGTGTGTGTGTGTGTGTGTGTGTGTGTGTGTGTGTGTGTGTGTGTGTGTGTGTGTGTGTGTGTGTGTGTGTGTGTGTGTGTGTGTGTGTGTGTGTGTGTGTGTGTGTGTGTGTGTGTGTGTGTGTGTGTGTGTGTGTGTGTGTGTGTGTGTGTGTGTGTGTGTGTGTGTGTGTGTGTGTGTGTGTGTGTGTGTGTGTGTGTGTGTGTGTGTGTGTGTGTGTGTGTGTGTGTGTGTGTGTGTGTGTGTGTGTGTGTGTGTGTGTGTGTGTGTGTGTGTGTGTGTGTGTGTGTGTGTGTGTGTGTGTGTGTGTGTGTGTGTGTGTGTGTGTGTGTGTGTGTGTGTGTGTGTGTGTGTGTGTGTGTGTGTGTGTGTGTGTGTGTGTGTGTGTGTGTGTGTGTGTGTGTGTGTGTGTGTGTGTGTGTGTGTGTGTGTGCCTGTGTGCCTGTGGGCCTGCGTGCCTGAAGCTCGGACCGGCTCAGTTGTGCCAAAAATCGTTTGCTCCTGAACATATTGAATCTGAAATGCATGGACAAATAAAAGGACTTTGCGCCTGCAGTTGCTAAGCCAAGTTTCGCTCAGTGATGCGCAGCTTGTCACCCATGTAGTTACCCAGGTACTCGATGAGCCTCGTTCGGATCAGGAAAGCAAGGATGAGCAGCAGAACCGCAGGAGCTTGCCCCGGAATCAAGCAAGGTTCAATCCTGGGATTGCTTTGGATCTAGGTTCCAATTTGATCTTGGAAGCCTTTCCCAGGGTGTTCTAAACATCCGCCCCAAAAGCAAACTTAGCTCAGATTGGCCATGCTCAAACCGCCAAACAATTGGAGAAAAAGAACGACCGACCCCTGTTCCTCTCTCTTGGCTGCCGGCTAAAGGATGCTGTTTCTCGTCCAAAAGCTGGGTGGCTCCTGGCATTGCTGCCCGAGGCACATGGAGATGGCCACCTCGGAGTTGTAGAGCTCCTGCAACCTCAAAAATGAATGGCAATGGCTTTGGGCCCGCAAGTTACAAGTACTGTTAAACAACTGCAATTCTTGAAAATCGCAAGGACACCAAGGGGTGTGCGAAACAGCAAAAGGTCGAGCCATGAGTCAAGTGGCGCATCGCCCCCTCCGTCACGCCCATCCTCCACGTTCTCTGCCGCAGGGGTGCCGTATTCCTGCACAGTCACGGAACGAATGGTTCAGGAATCAACCACCCTGCCAGTATGGGCCAGGTTTCCAGTAGATGCCCCCTCAAGAGCATTGCAAACGTGTTCAACTTTTTGCTGGAGCCATGATTCATGTCACATGATTGACAAACATCCCAGGTCTAGAATTATAGCTCCTCTAAGAGATGGCTGCACTAGAATTATAGATCTAGAACAAAGCACGTGGCTGCCTAACCCAAGAAAGCATCTTCAGCCCTTGCACTTGATGTCTCCCTGGAGTCCAGCGAACAAGCCCGTGACGTCTGCTGCTCTCTTGCTTTGCTTCATCTGTGCTCAACGTTTGCTCAATTGTCCTTGAGCATCACTCTGAAGCCTTCTCTGCATCTAGCAAACCCTCCTCAATGATGAATTAAGGTGAAATTATGGCCGGCCTATCAAAAGGAACACAAAAAAATGTCTGCGTCTTGCAGCAGGCTGAACACAAGAGGCCAAATGCAATTGAGCCCAACATGTCAATACACAGTACAGTACAGGCCGAAGTGCTGCACTTAAGCACGAGCTGCAGCATCAACGCTGCCAAGATCCCGCCCTGTGCTAGCAAAAGCCCAAGAAAAGCCATCCCGTGGCAGCACACCACTAGGCTCGTCGGCACATGTGCTGGTCCTTGTTGCTGTCCCCGCGCTTTTTGGCCTTGTCTTTGATACAAATGCCTGGCAGGTGTAGACCAGAAGCCAAACAAACCCGTGGCAATGTGCCCTCCCTTGCTTGGAGAGCGCATCTATGGACCAACATCCGCGCATAGGGGGGCAGAGGGGGCACATCCAAGAGCAACATACAGTACCAAACAGATAAATCAACAGGCAAGAAAAGAAAACACTGAACCAGAACAAACAATAATGAAGCATCCAACAGGCACAGTCGAGCGACAAATTGCAAGGCTCGCCCTTGTCATGCAAAGCCTTGAGAACAGCCTTGCGCATTGCCTCCTGGCTAACATCCTGAGCCCTTGTCCATAGGCGAATAATCAATGCGCCTGGATCTTGGAAGACATGCTGGTTGATGAAGAGGGCTGCTTCTTCTCCTCAGGTGCACGCGCTCTCTTTTGGGTATTGAAGAAAGCTACCTTGCCAGATGGGGATGACCATGAAACTTATGCTCGTCTCCGTGGAGCACTTCCGCATGCATTGCCTTTGCAAGGTCCCAGCTTCGTGGCAATTCTGCTTGACACGTTATCCCTACAAGCCATGGCACAGCGTTGGATCTCAGCTCATCCCTGATACAAATTCATCGTCCTCAGGGCCCTTCGTGGGCCTCCGTGCCTTGACAAAGCGCTGGCAACCTGTTAGGAGATTGATCTGAGACCCTGGCTGACAGGCACGTCCCGGCTGCCGATGACCAGATTCACAATGGTATCGAACTCGTCTTCCTCAGTCCGGGAAATCCTTCCTTCTAAAAGAGAAAAGGGGCGTATGCCAGAATAGGGAGCCCACCTATGTCGTGGCTTTCCAATAGCTGTCCATGTTCCTGCAGGGGTTTCTGTCAAAGACATGTTGAAGATATCATGCTGGACAGCGTAAACGTATCGTCCTGCAGGGAATGGGAGGGATGCATATCGTTTTTGATGGTTTGCACCGCCCCCTCATGTCCTCATCAAAAGGGTTGATGACTATTGTTCGACCTGACCATGGCACACATGCCAACCAGTTTCCCACGCTATGTCAGCGGTTTACGTTTTGCCCCTTTGCTGCTGAAAACATGGTGGAAATCGAACCTCTCTCTACTGGAGAGGGGCCGAAAAAACGGGCCCTAACCCACCAGCCGCCCCCCCAAAAAAAAGAGGAAACACCAGCTCCCCGGAGAAAAAATACAGACAGAAAGGAGAAAACAAAAGAAAAGAAAAGAAAACCGCCTAACCCACCAGCCCCCGCCCCCAGAAAAGCTCAGGTGATATCCCCAACAGCACCACACCCTCCCAGAATCCTCGCGAACCCGGGACCCACCGGTGACACGCCCTGATCGGGGCCCGACGGCGCAATCGGGGCCTGATCGGGGCCCGACGGCGCAATCGGGGCCCGATCGGGGCCCGACGGTGCAATCAGGGTCATGCTCCGGTGGCGCAACCCCAGCCACCAATATTAAAGCTCAACGCCGGCTTTGCTTAGGATGCGGCCTTACAACTGTATCTATCAAAACTAGGCGATGCCAGCTTGGTACATTTGACGGGGCCTGACTGAGTCGTTCCCCGATCGGGGCGCGATGGCGCAATCGGGGCCGATCGGGGCCTGACGGTGCAATCGGGCCCCGACGGCGCAATCGGGCCCCAACCTGGGCCCGGTGCCTTGTGGATTCTTGGAAGCCCACCAAGTAATACTCAGCAATGCCAAGCATTTACTCTGCTGCACCTGAGCAAGTGACTTGAGCAAGGGACAAAACAGTGAAAGTGTGCTGAAAACCGTTGGTTTCGGTTTAGCTTAGTGTTCCGCCCATGAGCAAAGCGATCTTCTGAGCCCTCAATTCACTGCTCCGATGGCTTTAAAGACAGCGGGCACACAACGCACTGCTTCCCTGCAGGGCAAACCACGGAACCTTGCAGAACATTTCTGGAACGCTTGTTGGAGCCTTGTTGTGAAATCCTTGCGGAATTGTGTGGAACCCTGTGAAACCTCAGGGCCGCCCCGGACCTCGCAGAACCTTGTGGAACCCTGAAAATCTCCTGGAACCTTACCGCAAACCACCACCACCCCGCAGCCGTCGATGGAACCTTACCTTGGACCACCCCGCAGCCCTTGCAGAATGTGGTGGAACCCTCAAACAAATTGAGCCCTGGTGGAAATGTGGTGGACCGTGGTGGAACCCTGGTGGAACCCTGGTGGAACTGTCGTGGAACCTTACCTCAAACCATCCGGGACCACCCCGCCCTCGCAGAACCTTGCGGAACCCTGGTGATGGAACTTTGGTGGAACCCTGGTGGAATTCTCGTGGAACCTTACCTCAAACCACCCCGGACCACCCCGCAGCCCTTGCAGATTGGTGGAACCCTGGTGGAACCCTGGTGGAACCCTGGCGCAACCCTCGTGGAACCTTAGGGCCGCCCCGGACCTCCCCGGAGCCTATCTGGGCTGAGACCCCAAAGCTTTCAGCTGTTGGGGAAAAAAGGAAAAAGAAAAAAGGAAAAAGAAAAAAGAATAAGAAAAAGAAGAAAAAAGAAGCGGCGAGATCGGCCGGCTCGCCTGGAGCTTCTCCGCGAGCTCCCGCTGCCGTAGGCAGCGCAGCGCCGCCGCGGCCACCCGCGGGTCCACGTCCGCCACACGCTCCACCAGGTGCGGCAGCCAGCTCTTCGCGAATTGGCCCAGGTGCTCCTCACAAAAAGAAAGACAACAAGAGTGGTAGTAGTGGTACCCATCGGGAAACAAGGGTGGTATTAGCATCCATACGTCTATGGGTCAAAAATGAGCTTGCGTGCCTGACAAGCCACCCTGATTGGGGGGAGAAGAGGAGAAGAGCGTATCAGCACCCCGCAAAAGTACCAAAAGTTTGACACAGTCATACAATGAAAGAACCGGCTGCACTGTGACACCGCTCGGCCGGAAACCCGGCAGGTCCTTCACCGGCGCAGACCTCTTCTTGTCTGGAGAGTACCACTGTGTGATGACCTCGGGCTGAGCTGTGCCCTCTTTGATCAGAAAAAACTCCCTCTGGGTTGTTGGCTGCGCGTTGAAGGAAGCTTCGTCGACCCGCGCCGCTCACACGTGGGACTTGCAACGCCCCCAGCTTCGACCAGCCAAGAGACGCTGAGGGCCTTCAGCCGCACGTCAACCTGATCGGAAAGCAAACGACTTCGGGCCATAGGCTTGCTGTGCAGAAGAGTTCACCTGGGCTTTGCCAACAAGTAGACAAGACACCATCGATCAACCCCTTGCAAGTAAAATCCATGTGTTGGACTGGAGTCCGGATGAGTGCTGTTTTGGTCGGTGTCCAGGTGTGATGAGCAGCTTATGCCATGGGTTGTGGGCTCTGATCCTGTTTCGAGAAAGTCGATCTTCGGAACCCGAGCAAATGGCCACCTCCAAGGTGAATATCACGAGAGATTGATCCCTTCTGCTCGAACGAAACGAGGCTTTCTCCTGCACCCTCCCCCTCTCCCAAACCCCGAAAGAAGCAAGGCTCCCCGCACGAGTTCTTTGCGCCAAGAAACAGCAGGGTCATGCACCATGAGGAAGACCCTGGCAGTCCACTTGTTTTGCAGGTACATCTCCGGGTCTGTCTTCATGAGCTTGTCCACAAAGCTCAGGGTGTAGACGCGTATCACCTCGCTGATGTCGCCTGCAGTCTTCTGCTTCTACCAAGACCATACCCTTGTGTATGCAAGCTAACCAAACGGCACCACACAAGCACGCGATAACTCTTTTATCCGAGCAATGTGTTGGTGCCAGGGACTCATCTTCCCCTGTCAGATGTCAACGGCTGGGTGGGCCCCATGGGCCACCCACCTCAAACTCTCAAAAACTGAAGAACGGGTGTGCAGACTCATAGCGCCCGCCCCTGAGCCGGGGCCCGGGGCACCCAGGCCACAGGGGGGTCTGCCACCAGGGGAAGTGAGTCACCCACCGGCTCCGGTCACGGGAGCATGGGTGGGCCCACGCTAAGATCAAATGCATTTTTTCAGGAGATGTTTGGGGACCCTGTGCAAAGGGTCGAACCCAGGGTGCATCAGTTCATCAGCCCACTGGTTGAATTCCCGGGGCACGTGGTTGGCCGCCAGCGAGCAGCCATGGGTGTGGAGCAGGAAGACCAGCTCCATCAGGATCGCCGCGGTGTAGGGCTTCTTGGATCCAAGGTTGAGCATCGCCATGACGTTGCCCTGATTGTCACTGCCCACCGGGAGTCGGACCCGGGAGGACAGAGGGCCTTGGTGCGTGAGGATCATGTTACAGAGGAAGAGCGTGCCCAGCATTTCCAAAGCCGCAATCCTCCGCTTGGGATCCCCATTCTTGAATGCCCAAGGGTACTCCTCCACGTGGATCTGCTCGTGGAACCAGTACACCTCCTTCTTTTCCGGCTCCATTTTGTTGGAGCACCATCCTCCCACAAATGCCAGTCCTTCGTCCGAGGCGCTAGCATCGCTGCAACCCCACCAAGAGGACTTCGGCAAGTAAGGGGAGTACTGGACGAAGGGCGTGTTGAAGAGGAACCGCAGCATGAACGCCAGCATCCTGACCACCTTGGGGGGTTTCCCCACCGTGGTGGTGGCCATCTTCCAGGCCCAAAGTGGCTGAAGCATCGACTTCGCCAGCGGACATGCAGCAGTTGCCCATTGGATGCGGCCCAGGGCCTTTTCGATGTCCTTTGAGTGCATCGCCTGCCCTTCCACCATGGTCTGCAAGACCTCCATTACCAGGATGCTTGTTGGCGGCCATGAGAACCTGCGGGATGTTCGGGTGGACCACGAAGCCCAGCCACGTGTTGACGTGTCTTCTTCCAGCTAAGCGGGGTGCCCAAGGCCAGGAGTGTTGCCAAAAGCGCCACCGCCAAGTTTACTGCCCCCTCGCTGCGAAGCAGCCACAGGAAGTCGTCCACAAAGACGAAGTTCCAATCCACTTGAGGGAAAAGTGCGTAGAGGACCCGGAGTAGAAGGGCTGCCAGGCGTCCCCAGTAGGATTGGGCACTGGCCATGCCGTATGTGCCTACCTTGTTCACCCACCATTCTTCCCCCAGTGAAGCCACCTGGAACCGCCAGTCCTTCCTGAGGACCTTCACTCTCCGGTGGGCCTTGGTGACGTCCGCCTTGAGCAGCACCCACCTCGTGCCCCAGGTGGAGGTTTGACGACCTCCTTCTCGGGGCCAGGGGCACCCTGAGAGGGAGGTCCCTCCGCAGCTGCCGCATGTAGCCAATGAAGAGCTTGTACCCCATCCAGCACCGTCGGAGCCGTCGTCCTTTCCACCGTCTGGTTCCTGATGGTGTCATTGGCCCCGCCCACCGAGCCATCGTAGATGGTGCGGATCTTGTCCCCTTCGTCAATGCCCGCTAGGGGGCCGGGACAAAGGTCCTCAATCTCGCAGCCACAGCGCGATGCTGCCTCCACCTTGGTGAAGGGGCCCTCTACCATGTTCATGGGGACCTCCTCCAGGAATGTGCCACGGATGAGCTCACTGAAGTGATCCGCCGAAGGGTAGTTACCGCGGCCCGTGAAATGAGGGAGTTCCTGGAATTCCGGCTCCTCCCCTTTTAGCTCCTTCTTGAGTGGCCAGATGCCCGGCGAGGCCAGGGGTGGGTCCGTGACCCCCAGTGGGACCCCTTGTTCCAGATCCCGAGGAAGTGGTCGGGGTCCTGAATGTTCAGCGCCACGCTGTGCAAGATGTCCAGAAAAAAGGGTTGGCCTTCAGCTGGTCGGCCTGCCCCCGGCGCCAGGATCTTTTCTGATATCCTCAAGCAGGTCCTCCGGGAAGGGATGTGACCCGTCCCCCAACGAGAGCGACTCCTGGAGCTTGTCCCCCCATGGCGAAGTGAGGACACAGATCTTGGCCCCCATGACAGTGGCCGAGTCCACGGGGCCAGCCGTCCCAGTGAGGGCTTCCCACCCCCGTCCCTTAGGGGGCGCTGTTTGAAGGCCATCTGGAGGTACATAACCTTGTCGGAGAGATTTGGGTCGTGCGTGATCGGCAGGGTGGTGGGCCGATCCGAGATCTCCATGCAAAGGCGTGCCCATAACTCAGGGGAAAGAGTTCCACCCCCAAGTTCGACCATCCCGCCATCCGGCTGTGTTGGTGTCCGGACCTCCGGATTGTCTGAGGCCGAGACCGGAAGTGAGCCCAAGGTTAGTCCCGCCAACGCTTGTTGGCCGGCCTGCAGCCTCCGGGACTGGCGCTTGTTGTCCCCCGGCGTGCTGGGAGAAGGTTCCCTCTGTCGCCTCGGGGGGGTCGTTGGGTTCGCCTGGGGCACCATGCCCCCCGGCCTCAGCGCCTCCAGGACGGGTCCCGCTCTGCAAAGGATGGCCGCTGCGAGACCCTGCATCATCTGCTCTGGATACCGGCTGAGGTCACTGGAGTTGAGCTCTCCTCCCTGGGAGCTCCGTGGTTGCATCGCAGATCATGCCAATGGTGAAGGGGAAGGTCCGTTGACAATGTCGTGGACTTCACTACCACCTGGCCCAGGCGGCACTCGTCAAACTTGATGGGGGAGTGGTGGAGTGCGTTCGCCCATTGAATGTAGGCCCGTGTGACCCAGATCGATGAGCACCTCGCTGCGCTCGGGCTCTTGCGCACTTCATTGGGTTCATTGGGTGCTCCAAGAAGGAGGAGCCCACCTGCGGGACCGTTAGTTGACCTAGCCCCTGGTAGGCCAGCGAGGTCAGGTACATCTGTCGGAGCATGAGCACGCTGTCGTTGTCCGTGTCCTCCATTACCCGAGGGTCTGCTCCGCTTTGCCCCTCACCGGCGGCCACCCGGTTTGGGGAACCATCTGAGAATGCTCCACGTCCTGCAGTTGGGGCCGCCCCCCACAAAGGCGACCTTGCCCGCCATTGCCATGGAGCACATCGTAGAGTAAGGCTCATCTCCCAGCATGTCCTGTCCAAGATCTCCACCCTTTCGCCTGGTGTCCACTGCCCAAACCGAGAAGGCCTGTGGGCATGGAGGTACGCATCCAGGGCCCCCGCATCATCCTTCCCAGCGTACAGCAGGATGAGGGACGGCTTTGACGACTCCGGCACCGGACGTGGCGTCCACCTTAGTCTGAGCCTCAGTCTTTCCGGGGTGTCCTGCATCCATGGGAAGGTGGGGCTTGCCCCCCCTAAGGATTCCGTGTGTCCTTTGTCTGACCCTCCGGTCATCTGTCCTTGGGCTTGCTGCTTGCCCTGGCGGTCCTGCCCGCCCTTGGAACGCCCCTTGCCGGGCGGATCCTCACTCTCTCTGGGGGTTCTTCCCACTGCCTCGGTGGGTGCGGGGGAAAGGGGTGCTTCCGCCCTCCTGGCCCTGGCTGGGTCCGCTCCTCTTCTTTGGTGGAGGGGCTTCCGGGGCCGGTGGCACCCTGGAGAAATCCCCTCCCACCTGCGGCCGTCCTGGCCTCCCCCGCTCTGTCTGCCTTCCGCTGTGGCTCTGGTGGGGTTGGCTCTACCCCGCTGTGTGCACTCTCGCACTGGTGGCCTGTGATCCCAACTGAGACCAGGAAGCCACGGGGCCTATGGCACCCTGAGTGGCCTCCTGTCACTTGGGAAGGTGTGGGCATGCTTGTGGCACATGCTTCACACACCCACCCATCCTTCCTGACCGGGCAGTTGATCGGCCGCATGATCCCGAACACTTGTTGTGAAGGTGATGATCTCTGCAGTACGCCACCCCTTTGGGATTCTTGAAAGCCCAGTAGTCCGGCCATGGGGTCGAGGGGGTGTTGGGGGACTCGCCCTTGCCCTTCGGCTTGGACCGGGTCGGCCCTGAGGGCCAGGAGCCTTTTCCCCCCTTCTTGGGCTTCTCCCACTGAGTCTGCCACACCTTGGGTGCCTTGCTCTTGCTCTTCCCCTTCTCCGGCGCCCTGTTGAGGTGCTCATAGACCTCCCGTTGCCAGAAGAGGAAGTCGCCCCTGATGTTCTTGAGGGCTTCGGAGAGGGTGGTGCCCTGGCGCACCATCTCGTGAATCTTGCGCCATGCATTGCGCTCTGCGAACAGCAAGGTGGTGTCGCTCGGGGGAGGCTTCCTGCCGGCTATGTCTTCCCCATAGAACCAGGCATACCAATCATCCAGCTCCTCCTTGGTGACCCTCAGGTTGCCAAACTGTGGCAGTGCTGCTGTGCACATCAGGAGCGTCGTCCTGAAGGTTAGGTGCAATCGCTCCAGCTGGCGCCGAGATGTAGGGTGGCTCCTCACCTCTTCTTCATCCTCCCTGTCCCAGCCGTCCACCGTGATCTTCTTGTGGGTGGATGAGGGGCGTTCCCCTTCTTCCGGGAGCGCGCTCACGATGTGTTTTGCCGGGATGTAGCCCAGCTCGCCCTTGGCAATCATGCGCCATTGCTTCTTGAGGTAGCCATCACTACCTTGGAACTCCAACCTCGGCTTCGGGGTCCCATGCGTGGCCACGTAAGCATCTTCCAGCTGGCGCCTGTCACACAGGACCTCCAAGGGAGCCTTTGTCGGGCCCCGCCGGGTGGTCACCTTGGTTGCCCCCCCAGACCAAGTTGGCTGCCACCCGAACTGCCTGAAGGAGGCGCATCGCCGTGAAGGCCGAGGTCTGGGCGTTGAACCCATTCTCTCCATCCTGGAATCTCGGGGACCATTGTCCCTAGCCGCCGCCGGGGTGTTCCAGCGATCCGCCAGGTCTTCCACCGTGACGT